GAATCTGGGCAGCTTTGTGACTTGCTTGTAACCAACAGAATAAGACAGAATTGATGCTGCAGGACTTCCAAGGCTAGGTCAGAAAAAGGAATGCAACTTCCACCTTGTTCACTAGAACACTGTTGTTGGAGCCTCAAGGCTGCCATATTGTGAGGAAGTTCAAACTAACACATACCAAGAGATCACATGGCGATGCTCTGAGACTCCATGAAGACAGAGAGATGTCCTACTAGCCGGAAACTGCTCCAGACTCCAGCCACCATCTGACTGCAACTGCATGAGACAGCTCAAATCACACCACTCAGCTAAGCCTTTCCCAAATTCCTGACCCAGAGAAACCATGAAATATAATAAAGCATTGTTGTTTTAGGCCATTAAGTTTGGGGTAGTTGGTTAGGTAGCAGTGGGTAACCAGAACATAAAGACAAACTGTTACAGGAATTTAGGAAAAGGGAGAGAGTTTCTAATTGGGGTGATCAGAAGCAGCTTCAGGGAAGAGTTGCCATTTTAACGGAGTTTTGTAAAGTGGGTATGGATGGGAAATGGAGAGATGGAGCAGGAAGAACAGTCTATGTGAAGGACACAGCCCAAGGAAAGGCTTGAAATAAGAAATCCACAATATGTGAGGTGTAAAAAAGTGCTGTGGGAGACAGGCAGAAGGTTAGATTAAGAATGAGGAGGGTCTATATCGGTGCTGTCCAATATGGTAGCCTCTAGCCGTATGTGGCAATTTAAATTTCCACTGTGCCAACAAGGCTCCAAATTTAAATTAATTAAAATTAAACAGAATTAAAAATTCAGTTCCTGGGTCACATTAGCCACATTTCAAGTGCTCAGTAGCCCCCATGTGGCCAGTGGCTCCATATTGGATAGCACAGATATAGAATGTTCTCATTGTAGGAGAACTTTTTATTGGACAGTGCTGGTATATGTGATATTTCTCGTAGTTCCACAAGCAGTGATGAGACACCGCAGGTGGCTGATGGGAAGAGTGCCATGATGAGAGCTGTGTTTTAGGGGAGCTAGCTAACCTGGAGCTACATGTGAGAGAGAGACCAGAAAGCAAGCTAGTGAAGAGGCTATAGAAACAGGACAGGCGAGGACACATTTATAGTCTGCCCTAAGTGAGGCACTGAGTTGGGGAACAGGGAAAAAACAAACTAGCCAGAGAGCTGGCGATTTACTTATCAATTCCCTAGAGTATTAAAATGGTTTGGTTACAATGCAGGGCTCACTAGAGACCTGCAAACACCAAAGATGGCTTTAAAAGATCTGAAATAAAAACCATGGGACTGAAGAGTGCAGGAGCAGAGGTGGAGAAGGAAGAGGAGGCCCAGGCAGGGGACTGCGGGGAGCCCCCTCAGCCCCCAGTGGGTGGTGGCAGTGTATTAGGCGAGAGGTGCTTGTGAAAACTCCAGATGAAAGTATCTTGTTAGCAGGCCTTTTTAAAGTGATGAAACAACTAGTTAAGAAATGAAACACAATCAATTACACTAACCTGACTGCTCCTTTAAAACAGATCAAAAAGAAGGTGATAGGAATGACAGCACGTAAACTCTCAAGACAACCAGAAATCATTGGTGTCACTAGTTGCCATGGAGTTGACTCCGACTCATGGCGACGCTGGGTGTGCAGAGCAGAACTGCTCCCTAAGGTTTTCAAGGTTGTGACCTTTCAGAAGCAGATCTCCAGGCCTGTCTTTCAAGGTGCCTCTGGGTAGGTTCCAATCGCCAACCTTTCTGCTAGCAGTCAAGCGCTTAACCACTTGCACCACCCAGGGTCTCCTAGAAACCATTAGTATTGGAACAAAAAAACTACAGCTTAAAATAGATAGACTAAGCTTTCTTGAGTGTTTGCAGAGATCAGAGATCCAGAGAAGATTTCATGCCATTTCCTTTTCTGGAATCCACCACCACTTCACTGTCCTAAATTTCTATCCACTGATCTTTTAAACAGACAGACAATGGGATTCTGTATTCTGATGCCTTAACAGAGCAACAGACCTGCAGCAACCTGGGTTTTGCATCAAAAATTTATTTTCCCCAGAGGAACTAAAAAATTTCTCCAACCAGGCTCCTAGTAACAAGCATCCTAGTAAAGAGTGGAACACCCTTCTACATGCCCCCAGACGCTGGTGTTCTCATTCTTCCACTCTAGGAAAAGGCTAACCAAAGTTAAGGCCCTAACCCCACTTATAGTACTGTTGTTAGGTGCCGTTGAGTCTGTTCCGACTCATAGCAACCCTATACACAACAGAAGGAAACACTGCCCAGTCCTGCGCCATCCTCACAGTCGTTGCTATGTTTGAGCCCACTGCTGCAGACAATGTGTCAATCCATCCTGTTGAGAGTCTTCCTCTTTTTTGCTGACCCTCTACTTTACCATACATTATGTCCTTTTTCAGGGACTGGTCTCTCCTGATAACATGTCCAAAGTACATGAGACGAAGTCTTGCCATCCTTTCATCTAACGAGCATTCTGGATGTACTTCTTCCAGGACAGATTTGTTTGTTCTTCTGGCAATCCATGGTATATTCAATATTCTTTGCCAACACCATAATTCAAAGGCATCAATTCTTCTTTGGTCTTCCTTATTCATCATCCAGCTTTCACATGCATATGAGGTGACTGAAAATACCATGGCTTGGGTCAGGCGCCCCTTAGTCCTCAAAGTGACATCTTTGCTTTTTAACACTTGAAAGAGGTCTTTTACAGCAGATGTGCTCAGTGCAATACATCATTTGATTTCCTGACTACTGCTTCCATGGCTGTTGATTGTGGATCCAAGTAAAATGAAATCTTTGACAACTTCAATATTTTCTCCGTTTATCAAGATGTTGCTTATTGGTCCAGTTGTCAGGATTTTTGTTTTCTAAATGTTGAGGTGTAATCCATACTGAAGGCTATATTCTTCGATCTTCATCAGTAAGTGCTTCAAGTCCTCTTCACTCTCAGCAAGGAAGGTTGCATCATGTACGTATTGTGTAGGTTGTTAACTTAGTGAGTCTTTCTCCAATCCTCACGGCACGTTCTTCTTCATACAGTCCAGCTTCTCAGATTATCTGCTCAGCATACAGACTGAATAAGTATGGTGAAAGGATACAAGCCTGACGCACACCTTTCCTGATTTTACACCTCCTAGTATCCTCTTGTTCTGTTCTAACACCTGCCTTTTTGTTTATGTACAGGTTCCTCATGAATACAAGTAAGTGTTGTGGAATTCCAATTCTTCAAAATGTTATCCATAACTTGTTGTGATCCACATAGTCAAATGTCTTTGCATAGTCAATAAAATACAGGTAAACATCTTTCTGTTATTCTCTGCTTTCAACCAAGATCCATCTGACATCAGTAATGATAGTCAATTCCAACTCATAGAGACCCTATAAGACAGAGTAGAACTGCCCCATAGGGTTTTCAAGGCTGTAATCTTTATGGAAGCAGACTGCCATATTTTTCTCCCAGAGAACAGCTGGTGGGTTCGAACAGCCAACCTTTCAGTTAGCAGCTGAGTGCTTTACCACTCTGCCACCAGGGCTCCTTAACATAGTACTAGATGGTGTTAGTTATTGCTGAAAAGAATGGACCACGACAGAATCAGCTCTTTGTGAAATTGAGTAAAGAAACATAAATCCTGCTCTAGAAGTACATACTTTAAAGTAACCCACATAAACCAAAAATTCAAACCAAAACATGGCACCCTAGAATGGTGGCTGAGTCTTGGAAGTGAGCTAAATAACAAGACACATAAAACCTCCCCTCAAAGACTTCTCCATTTCCCTTTCTATTGGTGATACTTAAAATCCTTTCCAGCTCAACCAGGAAGTGTTTTCCTTATATCAAATCCTCCTGCTCCAGGAAGTCTGATTCTTAACTTATTTGAGAAAAAGAGAAAAAAGAAATCTTTTGCACTGAGGGTCCGCTTTAAAATATTGTGCACATTCCTTCCCTGCACAGTTAAAATCACAAGAGAGTGTCACTCCTTTTATTTATAAGCTTTTGTCCCTTCCAGAGTTAAGGAATCCTGGTAGGGCAGTGGTTAAGTGCTCAGCTGCTAAACAAAAGGTTGGTGGTTTGAACCTACCAGCAGTGCCAAGGAGAAAGATGGTTGTTTTTTTTTTTTTTTGGTACTCCCAGGGCATGACGACTTTCAGAGTTCCATAAACCTGTTGCTGTCAAGTCGATTCCAACTCATAGGGACCCCATAAAATTCCCCAAAACTGTATTCTTTTAAAAAAGCTGAAAGAAAAGCCAATGCTGGTAAATTTCTTTTACTCTCTGACTTTGCAAACGTGCATGATATCTTTTCAGGCAAATGCAAAAGGGAACTCTTGTTTTTGTGTAAATTTCAAGATGACTTTACTTTTACTGCAAAAAAAAAAAAAAAAAAAATCCATCTCTCTTAGCAGATGGCAAACCTGCAAGGAACAGGAGGTGCCCCCGCCTCCTCATGATCCCCCACCAGCTCCCAGTGGGGCATTCTGGCTTCAGTAGTTTTACCCAGGGCACCTCTGAATGTGAGCTTGCTGGGATGCTAGGGACTTAATCCTGGTAAATAACTGACATTGACAGTAAAGGTAGGGACTGGCCTTCTCAACAGAGCATTCAGAGAATAATAATACCTTGGGTTGTACAAATGATTAATGTGCTTGAATGCTAACGAATAGGTTGGAGGTTGAGTCCACTCAGAGGTGCCTTGAAAGAAAGGCCTGGCTATATCTACTGCTGAAAAAGTCACAGCCATTGAAAATCCTATGGAGTACAGTTCTACTCTGATACAATGGAAGACTGATATTCGATTGTTAATTTGCAAACACCATATTTGGTCCTGAGTCCTCAGATCCCAGTGCTAAGCAAGGCAATGAATGTGATAGGTCATCAGGAGGACAGTGCTGTCACACTCCACAGCAGGGTGCAGCATCGAACCAGAAACCTTGTAGTAGAGGAAGGAAAAGCACAAATCTGAGCAAAGGAAGTTAGAATTGACTTTAGGAGCTTACTTGTAGTTTTTCTCCCAGAATTTCACTGGCCTGACATAGGATGTGATGAAAATGACACTCCCAAGAAAAGGGCTCAATGGAGTAGAAAAGATTGAAGTGGCAATCATTTGAAAGAAAAGCATTGCAGAATCTGAGAATTTTGAGTTAAGGCGAAAAAAAATTGTTTTCATTGTTATATTTTTAAATATTATTCCAGATTTGACTACCTTCATTTAAGCCATTTCCTCACTCAGGAAAGAAAGGCTATACACTTAATCTATGTACATGTTTAGAAATATAAAACTTTTAGTAGCATCCTGCTAAGTCTCATCTCACCACCATGCAAATCAAATGACTCTCATAAAAATCCCAGCAGTCTCACTATGATTCATGGCAAAGATTTCACACCGAAGGGTTGAAAAGAACAGTTTCTTTGTACCAAGGTATCATTAACTGAACAAAACACACTGTGGCACATTTACTAAAGTACTAAATAGTTTTATAAATAATTAAAATTAAATTACACTTCTTAAAATAAACAAACAGTATTGTTTTGGAAGGTATCATCTTTGTTTTATAAAGAGTATTTTTCCACTATTCAGAAATATATTTTACTTATCATACATTGAACATCAATGGCTCAATTCAAGTCATTCTTGGTTTATAAGCTGAAAACTTATACCCATGAAATTACAGCATTTTGTTACTGAGTCTTTAGCAGTCTACATGGGTTTCTCAGAAATGTAATTGCCCAGCATTAAAAATAGTTTGGCTGTGACTTTTTGGCTTAGACCCCCCTGCTCTCTAGAAATCTAGGGGAGGTGCCAGATGCAGCCATCCCCTGAACAGGCCCCGTCGCTCCCCAGTCTCTGCATCATTGGAGAACTTCGCTCAGCTCTCCATCATGCCCACTTCACTGTGTTGTGGGTCATGGAGGTGCTGGCGGTTGGAAGAGCAAGAGGAAACTGAGAACAAGAATCCATGGGGATGGCAGAGGTCCGAGGAGGGCCAGTCTGCCAGTCTGCACACATGCACACCACTTCTTATCCGCCAGGGTGAGGACGTGGATTATTCTACTACAGCTCTGGTCCAATTTACTGCAAGTTTGATTGTCCCACCTGGAAGGGGTCAGGTGCATCTTTCTCACTGTTGGACCAATGGGGGGGTCTTATTTCTCTAGCCCATGTTCAAAAAGTTCTGCCAGAGAGTGAAAAATAAATCCCTAGCACAGATAGGAAGACGATCTCATTATTAAGCAGTCAGGTTTCTGAGTGCTTGAACATATTGTTACCGACACGGCTTAAAGTTATGCGATAAGGGAAGGGATGAGGGTTGGGCTTCCTTAATAGCTCCACTTATATGTAAAATATAGAAAAATGAGTGAGCCTTGTCCATAAACACTTTCCCTCCATTTATGTAGATTTAAGCTCAGATTTTAGCTTCAGGCGTAACTGTGTCATTTGTTCACTTGCTATTCACGCCCAAACATCTTCAGGAGTTTAATGACCCATCCTCGATCAGTAATTCATTCCAGGGTTGAACTGTTTAGGTTTCAAAAAGCTCTCTACTGTGCTACAATTTCAATCCAATTCGCTCATATTGACCTAGGTTCAAATGGAGAACTACAGAATAATACTCTACTGTGATATCTATGATCATCCATCAGTTTCCTCTTTACCTGAACACTGTAAATACCTAAATTCCTAGTCCAAAAACCACATCAGATTAGCCCTGTCCCTTGTCACTGGAAGGAAGTGAACTGCAAGGGAGATGACATTGAGAAAACGTACTGAAAGAAAGTTAGAAGGCAGAGTAGGGTCAGAGATGGTGTTCTCTGAGGGGAGGATTTGAGAGGAGGTGGGGGAGGAGGATGTGCTGTGCACCTGGTAGAAGAGCCAGGTCAAAAGCAGCTGGAGTCAGGGCTGGGGGATATTAGAGGGGCTGGCTTGCTTTTCTTTTCAATTCTAAGAGTTCCCCCAAGATTATGCTGTATACTTTTTAAGTGCCAGAAACAATTATCCTGAAATTAAGACTAAGAAATAAATAAGGAAAATACTACTAGCCTATACATAATGCTCAGTGTGATAGGAAAGGAAATGAAATTTAATAGGTTAGGGCAGAAGTGACAGACGGCCCTGGAGGTTATTTTATTTAGGGAAGACAAAGCACGCTCTTGGCAAATATGAAAGATTATGGCCATTACTGTGGAGAAGGAGGCCCATTAAGCCATTTTATTTCTCTTGGTAAGAGGTTTAGCCTAAGAGGTTGACTGTGACATTTTTAAAAACTTTCAGATTTATTTGAGTACATTTTAAATGAAAAAATATCAATGTCAATAATTAAAATTAAAAAAAATATATCATTAAAAGCACAGGAGGATATATCAAGTAGAAAGCAGCCTTCCTCATGTACACAGTTCACAGAGATAATCTGGCTAAATCTTTATACTTATCAGAAGACAATGGTCTCGCATCGTCTCTACAAATATTAAAAGGGTGAGATTCCCGTCTTTCCCTGGAGGTTACAAGCTCAGAAACTAGCAGAGGCTACTGAGGGAGAAAACATGCTCGTACTGGAAAAAGCAATTTACTAAACAGTACCCTGCTGGCCGGAAAGCTAATTCAATTCCAAAACAGAGAAAATTAGTCCCTTCTCAATGCCAGGATGCAGCCCACAGTTCCTTAATAGAGTGATAAAATAATTAACATTTCAAAATTAGTCAAGAGCCAGGGCCGGCGTTTAGGAGCCTGATAGCTTTGTCTTGATGATATATAAGTCCAGTTTACTCAACTATTTATCTCATTATATTCTGAGCGACGTGATATTGGACTCCAAGTAGCAAATATCTAGCGGTCACGAACAGGAGGTGTGCATGGGTAGCGGCAGGGTGGGGTAAAGGCCTCTCAGCTGTGGCACACTGCACTTGTCAGGCTCCACGGGGGTGGATGGTAAGCCTTTGTATCTTGGTAGAAGGGAGGAAGTGAATGGCATTAACAGGGCTAGGAACAAAGCAGAGGGGCTGATTGAGTGTTTTAAAACAGAATTACCAAATACTCAATAAAATCTGCATCTCAAATATGTTCCGTTTCTTAAGAGAATGAGTGTAAGTACTTAGATGCTACTCAGAGTGGATGCAACCTTAGATGCTAAAGCTGCTTTTATTCTTATAGGAAATATTAAGAACCAAATATTATGTGCCTGTGTGTGAACCCTCAGCATGCATACAGGTCAGGTAATTGGAGGTTATGGCTCCCAGAACGGTCTTAATTCAGCTGTGAAACTACAAGGAGTAATTAGTATTACTGAACTTATCGAACAAAGCATTAACATCAAGAATGAATGCTATAGGTATGCATGAGACCAAGTTATGGTAAAGTAGGGGATCATAACTTTGTCTTAAATTCTTAATGCAACTCCTTCAACCACAAATCTCCATTAAAGTAATAACTTTCATTTAACAAACATGCTTTAAATTCTAGGTAGGAAACCTTAGACACATGTCAGAAATAAAAATCACCTCCATCTTTCACTTCACTGTTTTCTGTTTTAAAGAACCTGTTGTAGGAGAATGAAAATCATCGGCATTATGTAAAATGACTGTAGTTAAAGAAAAAGTGTAGTGCACAAGCTTATGCTTCTGCAAACATTTTTTTCTTAGCTTGTTCTGCCAAATAACTTTGAAACACCTTAAAAATATCACTGCAGGTCTAAGAATGCAGACATGGAACAATGTACATTGTGAGGCCCGCTCTTGGTATGCTTAACTTTTTTTTTTTTTAAACAAATGGGCCCGGAGGAGAGCATTTAAAAAAAAAAATCTAGAGCATATTATCACCTAATAACGATCCCAAGTATGTTTCCATCCCTGTGCACAAAGTTCAGATCCCAGTGATTCCTTATGAATTACTTTAATGAGTCTTATGTAAATTTTCATATGTAAGAAAGTTTTGAGTAGTCATTTAAACTAGCTAATAGCACCCACAGAAACCCTGGTGGCGTAGTGGTTAAGAGTTTGCCTGAATCCACCAGATACTCCGTGAAAACCCTATGGGGCAGTTCTACTCTGTCCTATAGGGTCACTATAAGTTGGAATTGACTCAAAGGCAATGGGTTTTTTTTTAATTGCACCCACACTGGGATACCAGAGCCTAGAACTGTGACTCTCACACACAGTGGACACAAGAATCACCAGAAAAACTTGTGGAGATGTAGATTCTTGGGCCCTACACCCTGAAATTTTGATTTAGAAAGTATATTTTGCGCTCAGCAATCTACTTATTTAACAATCTCTTCCAGGGATTTTGATGCAAGTGGTCCCTGAACACTTGGAAAGTATAAACTGGCGGAGAAGGAAAACCTTTCCAAGGCAAATTTTAGGCCTGACTCAAAAATATTTTATTAGTCTCATGTTCTCTCTCTCTGTCATACGTGTGTGTGTGTGTGTGTGTGTGTGTGTGCAACTACAAAACAAAGCCATAATTTATCTTTTTAATATTCAAAAATAGTTGGGCAATTCTGTTTGTACCTAATTCTCAGTTTTGAATATTATTCAAGTATATGCTAAGCACATTGTATCATAATATTATATAATCTATAATGTTATTTATATTGAATGCATCAACCCTGTCTTCAGTGTTTAATAACAGCGAATTGATTTGTGTTATTTGGCACAAGACAACTGAGTCATTTTGGCAGGAACCTCCCATTTAAAAGACAGGATATCTTAAACCATATCTGGGCATGGGAAATGGAAAGATCAAAAAATAAAAGTAACTCCTGAATATGCATTAAGAAGTAGGGAGAGTTCAAAATTAAGAAATATCTTTTAAGGCTAAGTAGCCTAAAGGGAATCCAAAGTGCCTCCCCATGTCTCCATTAAAATGTAGTTGTAAAGACTTTAAAATCTTTTATTGCAAGGGTTCAATGAAAAGCTTGCATCCGTAAAATGTGAATCTCAGCTTCTGGGCGGAAACAATAGCAGAAAGGATACGAGGGATCGCGAAGAGCTGAGCAAACACATGAAATGAAGAACCCCAAGCCATCTGCCAAGGAGCCACATATGTCAAGATGAACTGTAACTTGTGAAGCAGGTCCCCGAGCTGAAAGCAAAAGAAAGAGAGCTTTGTCAGAGATGACAACAACAACTGTGGTAGCTGTCTGTGTCAAGGTCATTTAGAGCACCGTGTCAGCTGGGAAGTGCAGTGGAACTGGTGCTTGTCCTTTCCCTCGTACCCTCCTTTGACCTACATGCAATGCAGACATTTTGTGATATTTGAAAACCACAAAAGGCTGACCAGGAGAAACCCTGTGTGGCTAAGTGTTCATTTAATTATTTCAACCTATAGATATGGTGGATCTCTCTGCCTTTCTGGGAAGGACAACCACAGCTTGACCTTCTTTCCTTCTTACTGGGTCTTTTATAGAGAGATTCATACAAAAACCTACCATCATTGACATTGCTGAGATTTTTGTGTATTAATTGCATCTTACATCTTCAGCTACTCTTGCTGGAGAAATTAGTTCATACTACTGAATTACAAATTAAAATGTACTTTAGAAAGCCAAGATAGGATATGGAAGCTGTTGCATTTGCTAGACAAGCCAGCGCCAAAAAAAAAAAAAAAAAAAAGCGGTCTGGGGTGAGATAGGGAGGGACATATGTGGAGTGAGAATGAGCAAATATGGATGGACATGCTCAGTAGTTTTGAAGGGAATGCAGACCATGAATGTGCTGAGAAGGATGGAGAAGGACAGGGTGTCCTGGCTGTGGATCTCTGCTTTGCAGTAGTAAGTGATTGATCAATCCAGATGCAAAATGATACTGCTGTCACTTCCAAATGTGGAAGTGTTTATTCCCAAACTGGCTAGCAATATGAGACAATAAAATACCTTTGCCAAAACCACTGATGTTAAAGTAGAAGAAAAAAATAGAGTATTTAATTAGACCCTGATAGCTATTACACAGAAAATCAGAAGACCACAATGAAAAGATGATTGGGAAATAGTGTTATTAAGGAATGGTTCAAGGAATCAAGATAATTTAGCTCTTCAGTGAAAAGGCAGCCTTACAATTTTAGCATCAAAAGATGAGATGATTTTGAATTGTTCAATGACAGTGTAATGAGGAAAAATTAGGTTAATTAGAATATTTTCCAAAGCTTCCCCTCACTTTTCTTGCCTCACTAAATTCTCACAATATCCTGGTTTTGGAGAAAAACTTCAGAGTAGAATTAGACATTGATGGACAAGGGATAGAAGATAAACCAAGGATAAAAGTTCTTTCAAAGGCATAGCAAACATACTGAATTAAGAAGTCATAAGCATCTGGTTATGTATAGAGGTCCTTGGGTCTAAGTGTCTCCACTAGGGACTCTAGTTGCAGACTTAACAATGAATTTTAGGTGAAAGCTGAAGAATTAGAGGTAGAGAGAAGAGAAGGGAAGAGTGGCAGAGGGAGAGAGAGAGCGAGAGAGAGACAAGGAGAGAGAAACAGAGTGGGGTGGATATTGAAGAAATAGGGAAAGTAGGGAGAACAAAGGGAAAGTGAACAAACAAAGGAAAAGAAAGAAAGGAGATGAGATTGGGTTTAGGGAACTGTAAGGAATATGAATGCTGGGGAAGGAAAACAGAGGTTTGTTCTGCTAATAACTTTTCACTTTCTTTACTCTCCCTCACTTGCATCAACCACAAAGGACGGATCTCAATTGGCTTGCAAGTTCTTTGAGAAAGGTCACTTTTGTTTTAATCCTGAGGTTGGTTTCAGCCTCCTGAATTCATTCTGGATGGAAATCCACAGCCTCCAAGGCTTTTGGATAATTGAGAGGAGAGTATTTTACTCTATTACATCAGCTTAAACTCCCATCTCTTAGGTTCACATGAAAAATAATCATTTACCCCGAATTTTCTGCCAGTTGATAGACGACCTGCATAGACGGAGAGACTGGCAACTATAACACAGCTCAAACCCTTGATTCATTTCTGTTAAAAGATATGATTTCCTTTAAACGCCAATACCATTTCCTTTCAAAATCACCATTACCCCAATCCTAGGAGGAACATGCTGATTACATAAAAGAAGACATTCAAACACATGACTTCTAGAGTACATCAAAACCAAAAGTCCTGAGATGTGGTGGTGGGGCTCGCTATACTACCTTGCTTATTTATGCCTAACCAAACTCTATCAGACAAAATGCCTCTGGACTTGAAATCCTCTAGTCATCCCATTGTTAAGAATCCTTAGACCAGGTATTGAGAATTAACTTTGTGACTCATGCCTCGGTGAAAATTACAAGCATGAACAAGATTGCCTTATGTGATGTGTGGCCCCCAAATGCCCTAAAAATGAATCACGGGTTATGAAAGTTGTCCCTGTTGTGCTTTCAGTGTATGACTGTATCCTGGGAGGCTTTTAAGCCACCTTCTGAAAAAGCTGATAAGTAGGTCAGGCATAGCAACTACAATCAGACAGGCAGCACCAGGGAAAGCCTCATCTGCAAGTTTAAAGCTCTAACAAGTTAAACTTTGCTGCATTATGATTAAATGAATCTATTACAATTATTTTTTGCTTAGCATAGCAACTCGTATTTACACATAAGCAAAACCAGCAATCAGACATCTAAGGAGGCCAAACACAAGCATGCTCATGCTCTAATTGCAGCCAAGGCCCCAGGTACCTTCATTCTTTTCATACATCTCCCTTTGCCTCATTTTTTTCCCCACTAGTTTTGTGAAGAATAAAATATGTGCCTTGTAAAAGATTTTCAATACAAAGCTGACAAAATAGACTGCTATTCTTAATTAATGGAGAGGCCAAATCTCCCAAATGCTGGCTCTTTACATATAGCACAATAATTCAAGGATCGCCATGAAGTCCACTGGAAAAAAAGATGTCCTGAGACAAGGTAGATACCAACACAGCATAATGCTTAAGATTCTGGACTTAACAGCACCCTGCCTGGGTTTGAATCCCAGCTCCACCTCTGTTCATGAATTTTTGCATCTACAGAATGGGAATAATAAGAGTACCTCCTTACAGTGCTGTATTTAGAATAGTGCGGGGCAATAGCAAGTGCTATAGAATGTTTTGATAAATACCTGTTAGGACAAGTGGATATCTACATACTTAGTTCAGAATCAGATAAATTTAGACCCCCCCCCCCAAACTGAAACTTACCAAGTCTAGCACCTCTTATTTTTCAGAAAAGCAAGCCAGACTCTGAGAGGTTAACTAAATTGTTTTAAGTCAGAAGGTAGTTATTGGCTCATTTCAAACCAGAGGTCTAAGCTCCTGATTCTCAGTCAGTGACATTTCTCTGACCAAACCTCACCATGTCTCTGTGAGGGCATGGGCCTTCTGGCAAACTATAGAACAGGAAAAACCTTCCTGATGTGCAGCAGCTGAGAAAAGGCCTTCCTGTTGACAGCAGAGGTGTAGGATCACAGGCGTGGACATGACCAATGAATTGTGTGACTGCTGCCACTGCCAGGGACTTGTCCTCCCACGTGCACAGTGTGATGAAGTGCTATGATCCGCCCTGGAATGCCCTCTCCAGTATGAATATCCAATTAATAAAACACAATACCACCCAACAAGCCTGGTGACACTCAAATCCTCGGTTTGGTTCTCTGAAAGGCAGAGATCTCTGAAAGGCAGGCTGCTGGGTTAGCTGTGTTTCTTGAATGTATAACTCCAAAAAAATTGATTTGACTTATGTAGGCTATTCTCAAAAATTTGGGGAGGCATGATTCAGGGTAAAGAGGCTCAATTTCCTATTTCCCCTTTAAACTTTGCTCTTCTTTCCAAGGGTGAAATTGAGTGAAAGAATGAAAATTACTTGAGTATCAAAAAATGATTTCTGGCACAAAAGGAAACCTAAGTGTTGATCATAACTGAAAAACATGTATGAAGAGGCACTTTATGCACCATCTTAGACCATCGTGTATAACATAATGACACTCTTAAAAACAGCAACACCAACACCTTTATAGTAAACACAGTCACATGCTGGTATACCATTAAATTGAAGTACTTTAAATAGAAATCCCATTTAGACTAGACATAAGCAGATTTCATACAGCTGTTATTTGCATCTCCTTAGACAGTCTGAGGCCTCTGTTTTTATTATCTCACTCCTAATGTTCTACTTCCAAGACTTTAAATCTCAGCCCTTTAAGAGCACAATAAACTTCACAAATTTAGGAAGTTGTATATGATTATAAGAGAAAACAAAATCATTTGAGTTTTTTCCCACTGAAAACAGTGAAAAGAATGAAGAAAGTCATAGCTGAGTCATTTTGGCTGTTTCCCAAGGAAAGACATCATAAATACTCTCATTTCAATGACCTATTTTGAGAATATCTTTTCAATTAGGCAAAGATACACTGTTACATCTCTGCTATACATAGGAAACCCAATATGTGTAAATCTACAAACCATTTTAAGAGAAATATCATCAAATAAAGATGACCCCAACACATTTCCTTGTAATACATTCTGAAATAAGGCATATGCCATCTTTATTCTGGGAAACCCCTCCCCCCAATGAAATAGCCGACCACTTATTGAATGCTTTTATATTTGAGCGTTGTCTTAGAGAGTTGAACATATACTATTCCACTTAATAAAAGTGCATTTTCCCCTCCCGATTCCAATCATACATTTTCTCCTCTTGCTACAGCCTTAACTAATATCCCACATTAGTTCTATCACTTGCTATTTTTCACTTTTTGTTGCCAGATTCAGCTAGTTTCCTTTTTGGAAAGATACGTACTCCAGTAAACTTCACACCAAACTTGAGATCACTGGTGTTTGAACTTGAAGGAGCATGCAAAGCTGAAGGGAGTCCCAGAAACTAGCTGCTGAAATAAAGGTGAACTGAACTCAAAGAGGGATCACTGAAGGGGCTGAGGTTCTTGAATGCTTGGAAAGGAGGTAGACAAGATGGAAAGAAACTTGGAGTTTCAAGGGAGAACATTTTAATGAATTCAGGCAGGAGTCCAGCTGAGGGATCAAAAACCAGACCAAATGAGTCAAGGAAAAGTATTGGACTTTTTGAGGCACAGGTGGTGACGTAGGGAATAGAGAAACATTCAAGAA